GTGGATTAGGAAGGCTGCCTGGAGGAGTAGACACCTGCACTGAGACGTGTAGGATCAGCAGGGTTTCTGGGGTTGAGGCATTTCTGGGCAGAGGGGCAGTTAAGCAAGGCCCAAAGGCCGGAAACAGCTTAGGTGATGGGCACTCGTGCTGCTGGGGAATATGGAAGCTTCTGGTAAGAGGTGGGGAGTCACCAGGGCTGTGGGAGGAGAGCCATGCCCAGGCCCCCAGCTTCTCACGCTTCGCCTCTGCAGATGCTTCCAGAATCCCTGTCTCAGCTATTTGCCTGCCATGCCCCTCCTATCCCCTTCCCTTCTTGGCTTCCCTGGTGAAAACCTATCTATGCTATGAGGCCCAGTTCGGAAAGCACCTTCCCTGTGAAACCAGTCCTGGCTGCCTTCATTGAGGTGGCCTCCCCCTTCCTCTGTCAAAGTTCACCCCTCATTCTTTCTGGATTTATTTTTCTAGGGGCTACTAGCCTACTCTGCAAGGGCCTATAATGTTGGGGCTCGTCCTTTGTCCCCTTCTTCTTTGTTCACATTCTAAATCCTACTCATTTTGTACTCTCCTAAGTAACTGTTTAAAAAAGGAAGTTTACATACAGTGAAAAGTGAACTTTTCAATTTACCAAAATATATCAGGGGCTTGAAAAATGTTTATGCCCTTTGCTTGCTGTACCCCCTTCTAGGAATATAATTGGAAGTTGGGACAAAGATTTATGCAAAAAGATGATTACCACAGCAATTTTTATAATGGCAGAAAATAAGAGCAGCCCCAATGTTTAAATATAAGGGAACATGTAAGTAAATTATACTGTATACATAGGCTAAAGAATCTATGCAAAATGTTTTCATATATGGAGAAGTGCTTATGAGGTAAGTGGAAAAATAACAGGTTGCAATATCATATATATAATCTGAAGTATATAAAAAATATGTAAATATATTTTCATACCTATTTATATGTCAAATCTATAGAAAAGACTTAAAAATACACCAAATATTGGCAGTTTTTGTAGAAAGCATAATTCCTGTTGTTATTATGTTTTAAATACTTATGTTTTTTCCATACTTTCCATAATTGACACAGATTTCATGTTTGTAATTGGAAAAAAAAGTAACGCAATTTAAAAAAGGAAGCTCAAACTCAGCATGAGTTTGGCTTTTGATGGGGTGGCTTGCACGTTACTGGTGACATATTTTAAAGAGCCATTCTGTGTGCTGTGTTTTTACCATGCGCTGTTCTACTCTGGGACTGCAAATAATGGGCTGCGCTCAGCATGCTGGGGCTGCCAGAGCCCTGCTTTGCCCATCGCTCCTGTGATTTGCTGTCCTCCTCAGACATGCCCAGAGTCACATGGCTTGCCACATTCTGGGCCACTTGGGTGTGACACTGTGTGCTGGATGGCCCTTTAACAGCGCAAAGTTTCTGTCTTTTTGAGAAGGTGGTCCCTGCCCTTGGCTGACAGGGCTGAGCATGCTCAGCAGCCTTCGGAGATTCCCTTCCCATACAGCCACATGGGCTCTTCATCAGACTCCGTTTTACACTGATGGTCCCAAGGTGGCCTCATCTGGTTGATTTGGGTGCTGCCCTTCCCATGTCGTCACCTGGCCTCAGTTCTGGTGTCTTCCTGTTTAAACCCAGGAGTCCCACACTCCTGGCACACGTGGTTGTGTCCAAACCCAGCACTAGGCAGCAAATTCACATTGTATCCACTCCACACTCAGTTTGCATCATTTCCGAAGGAGGTTTTATTATCCTCATTTTCCATCTGAGGAAATGGAGCCATCAGCTCTAAATGCCCCACGGTCCCAGCAGATCGGAAATTCAAACCCAGGGCTGACTGACCTCAGGGTTGGTGCTCTGTGATGTCCAAGAGTTAGGGCCACTGAACATTGAAAGAAAATGTCCTGGGGACACTTCAAAGCCTGTGAGTACTCAAAGAGAGCACACTGCCCCAAATGCCCACGGACATCCCTATTTGTTTCACTGTATCACTGTGAAGACAACTCAGATCAGCAGCCTTTATTCAACACCTCAGACTTAAGTGCTTCAGACTTGGGCACCTTGGACATCTGGAGTCACTCAATCAGAAGATTTTGTGGCCATAGTGTGAATGAGTCTGAAAGGGATATGTGAATGCCTCTGCGAGGTCTGGTGACAGGACTGACAGAGTTGGGATCTAAGGCATATGTTGCTTGCAGAAGTGACCTATCGCACCAACAGCACAGAAATGCCTTTGACATGGGGGACAGGGAAGGTGTAGACATTTATAGGTAAGGGTTCACAGTGACTCATTCCTTGCTGTCATTGTTAATGAATCAAACAGTATCTAATATCAAAGCTGATACATGGAAATTGTCCCCACAAAATCCCCTGAGAGGAGAAGGGGGTGTCTTCTCTGTTCTCCGACCTGTGGGAACAGGGGGTGTTCCCAAGCTTCAGATGACCTAGAATTAAATTCACATCATCCAATCTTCCACATAGAAAGACCACATAAAAACTACTCAATTGTTTGAAAGGTCAAATGCTGGTCTCGTGCTGTATTACAAGGTTGAATAAATAAGAAATTAGAGTAAAACCTCACAGATGCATAACAGTTCAAATCCACACAGATGTTGTAAGTGATGGGATCAGCCCAAATTAGTGAAACATCTGAGTTACCAAATAAGTTTAAATGCAGTTTAATTAAATGTTTTTAAAAGGCCAGGCACTTAGGAGA